GTTATTCGGGGTGCGGGAGCACGGCGGAACCGTCCGAGGGTTAAACGCCCCGACTAATCATTGCAGGCACCTTTATCGTCGGTCAGAAAGGCTCTCTCGCGCGGGGGGGCGCAAAAAGGGCGTTCTGTCTCCTCCGGCGAAGGGCTTCCGTTGCGGTTAACGCCCTTTGGAAGTAGGCAACGGCGCGGAGACAACCGGCCGTTATAAATTACCGTGACGCGTTACGCACCGGGGATGTTGCGGCTGCCGATGGCCAGGCTCCGCTTCGAATACGTTTCGAATACGTTACGAATCCGCTTGAAATCGTCTCCCATTCTCTACGCCGAAATCCCGGCGAGGCACGTTGCTCCACGAAATTTCTTCCGACGCGTTTTTCCTCCATCCGACGCTGGGTTCATTAGCAGATTTTTCGAAATAATGTTTCGATGAAGTTTCAATTTGGAACTTCTTGCTTGATTTATTAGGGACAGGTTTTGATTCGTCGCTATTTGGTTCTTTTCTTTGTATTGGAATAATACAATGAGGCATGAAAGTGTTCGCACAGCTTTTAAAATGCAATACAGTCAATTATTCTTAGTTTTTCTTCAGCTTGTAATTGAATATGCAGAATTTGGGAGGAAGAGATACGATTATTTGCACGATATTGCACCTCGTTTTTATAATTATTGATTATTATAAAGTAAATAGTAAATAATAATAAATTGTTGTATGTTAATATTAATGTAAATTATTATATATAATAATAGATATAATAATATATATTAATGTAAACTATTATGTATATATATATAATAACAGATATAATAATATATATTAATAATAGAAGACTCCATAATAATTAGTTGAATAATAAATAGTTGAAACAAATGTCTTCATTGTGAGTTAAAATAGTCTCGAGTGCGAAAGGGTTAAAGCTTATTTTAAGAAATAAGCTTAGTTAATATTAAGTTAGTTAGTATTTATTAGTTAATATTAATAAATCGAGCAGCTTCATACGACGAAGAACTTAATTTATGTATACATAATACTCAATAACATTTGTTAACAATTTAATCGTGTCCGAAGCAAATATTTTGCACGTCATTTTATATTGCCGGTATCTTTTAACAACAACAAAAAATAACGATACGATCTACGATACTTGGTAAACATCATTTGATATCAGGCAGAAATGATAGGTAATTTCAACCAAGACTCTTGAATTTCGCGGAACGCTTAAGGGGTTAAAGGACTTGAAAGCGTTACCAGAGGGTTGGAGGTTTCTCTGATTGCACCGATACCTTTTACAAACTACGTACACCATAAATGCATAAAGAACCGCAGTCCATTAACGACCTAGCAATCGGTGGGTCATTTAAGGTGGAAACGTACTGATGCCGCCGTCACGTGATATCACGTGAAATCGTACAGGAAATAATACGTCATATCCGTCCACACGTGACAACGCATGAACAGCGTGACGTGATATTTAGAACAGATTTGAAACAATATAATATACATATATTTATAAATATAAATAATATATATATATATAATATAAATAATTTTATTTATTAGATAGATTTATTAGATGGATTAATTAGACAGATTTTATTTATATCGATTACTTTATTTTACAGATTATTTTATATTTATATATTTTATATATTATATATAGATTATTAGATTTATAATAAAGAATATGAAACAATAAAAACACGCAGACTCGCAGCTTAACACTAAAATTACCAAACTAGTTAAAATGACTGTTTTTATGCCGAATTTTTAGATTATCTTCTTCAATCAAGCATATACTATAATCGAAATTATACACTGTGAAAATAAATCTCGACCTCGCCACAACCACAAAACAATCCGCGTTGATCGTATTTAACACTCGAACCGCGTGCTCAGGGTCCGTTCTGACCCAGATCGTAAAAATTGATATCCGAATGTCTGAAGTTCCTAACCGATTTCAATTTTCACACGTTTCATCGAAGCCTGCAGACAATTAACATTAACATGGCATAATCTCGACATAACCTCGACAAGTACGTTAAGAAAAATTGTTAAATAAAACGACAACCGCTCTCCCAAGTATACTAATTAGCTAGATTCGACCGCGAAGATTCGTCGTTCGAGGTTCAAGATTCTGTAGTTCAAGGATTTCAATCATCTTCGATAGAAACCGAGCGAGCTTTTCGCAGCAATCGCGTCGAACGCAGCCCTTCGAACCGATCCGCAGATCCGTCAACGGTCCAAGAAGGTTCTCGTCCGCGTTAAGGGTCGCGGGGCGCTCGGCTTCTCGGCCGTGTCGTGTAGAACACGCGTCGTGCACGCGTGTCTCTCAGTCTCAGAACGCGTTCCGATTAGCGGGCGTCCATCGGGATCGATCGATCGCGACCTGACCTACAACGCGGTCCGTGCGACAGTTCTGGGATTGCTGGGGGTAGCCGCAGACTGCACAAGTAGATCGAAGCATTCGTTGCTTGTCCTCGGACAAGGAGGTCCGAGGAGAGGCGCGACTGCGATTCGGTCGCGAACCAGTTCAGCGGAACGTTTCACGGTCGAGAGAGCGGCTCGCAAAAGGGCGACCGCGGAGGGCGGGGGCGGGGGCCGAAGGGCGGCGAATGGATCTCTTAGGAAAAGGGAGACGACGTTTTCCGGTGCGCGAGCTTACGCCGCGAAGAGAGCGACTCCGCGAAAAGGCCGGAGACGCTTCGCGATGCTTCGCGGCGCAAAGTCGGCCAAAGGGTGAATCCGGCGAGAAGAGGGATCCTTTTCCGAGAGGAGCGGCGGGGGGGAGGGTTTCTCGGGTACAAAAGCTCGGCGGGATTCTGCGGGTCTGGCCGGCGGTGGCGTCCGCGGGACCAGAGAGGCCGACTACTAAAAGTGGACACGGAGCTCGGAGGAGGATGGAATAAGCGAATCAGCAGGTCGTTGTCGTAATTCTGGCTACGTCACTGCTGTGTGCCACCCCTCTGCAGCGCTGGAGAGGGCTGTGTACCCTCGGCTAGAGGGGCATAACGAAGCGGGCGTGCGCGCGCGCGAGAGAGACAGGAGAGAGAGAGAGAGAGAGTAACGATGCCCGGCTCCGGGCGAGGCGCGCGAGCTCTCCGCACGGCGAGGAGGTCGAGGGGCGAGGGGAGCAGGGGCGAATCCGTGGAGGGGTAGCTATGCCTGCCGCTGGCCTACGGGGCGAGGGAGGCAGAGGGAGGCACAGGGAACCAGAGGGAACCGGTGGGAACCAGAGGGAGGCCGAGAGGGAGAGGCGGGACACACCGGTGGTGAGAGGAACGCGCGGAACGCTTTATGAATGAATGTTTCCACGCCAAGTGTGGCGAGAGAGCGAGAGAGGCCCCCGTGTGTCCCGCGTGTAAACACAATAATACCGACGTTTCCATTCATCAGGTCGACCCCGGCAAAGCACGCCGCGACCTCGAGAAATGCCTTTCGAGGCGCGCCACGTGCTGGATCGCACACCCCTCCCGCGACACCCTCGCCACCCCCGGCCTCGCCCTCGCCCCCTACCCCGCCGCCGGTTTTTTATGGCCGACCCTCCGCGGCACTGTTTAAAAAGCGATTCCAGTCTCTCCTTCTCGGCGAGCCGAGCAACAACCCCCCTCGATCCTATCGGGCTTCTTAAACGCGCGACTACCGCGAGAACCGGGACCGGCCGGGCCGCCGCGTCGCGACCTTGTTTCTACGCGTCGCGGCGACGACGACGACGACCCCGGCGAACGACGTCGCGACGTCCTTCGGATCCGAAGACGCGCCAATCAATTTTACGTCTTCGCCGTGATTTGTTGCGGGCTGTTGTTCAGCTCCTACGAAGGTTCCTCGGCCTGGAGAACTTGCTTGCTTCGTTTCTCGCGCCTCGACGAGCGATCATTTTGGTTGGACAATAAGCCGCTGCGTTTTTCTGGATTATTGTCTGTGGGAGGAATTTGATGTAGTGATTTCTTCTAGAAATGTTAGGAGCTCGGAGACCGGCGGATCTGAGAATTATAAGTCGCGAGTCTTCGGGCCTCGCGGGGGTAGTTTTTAGGGAAACTCGGGGCTGTCGGCGGAAAAGGCAATGGCCAGCTTGCTGGTTTATGTTAATATGAATTTAACTTGTTTATTTCTAATTTTTGCCACGATTCGATGGCAATTCGGAGGCCACGTGACACGATTCGATGGCAATTCGGAGGCCACGAGACATTTCGATGGCAATTCGGAGGCCACGACACTATTCGATGGCAATTCGGAGGCCACGTGACACTATTCGATAGCAATTCGGAGGCCACGTGACGCGATTCGAAAGCAATTCGTAGGCCACGTATCACATTTCAGCGGTCACGTACTTAGTACAGTAATTTCTCCCTAATTTGCGCTCGGATTATACACAAAAATGGACAATTCGGAAGGAGGAGACACGATTATTATTTGATTATTATTCGATTATTATTACTCGAGCCTTACAAATTATCGGCAACTATAAAATCGAGCCGCAAAACTCGAATAATCGTACCTCGTCTTCCCAAAATGTCCATTTTTCTTCCCAAACCGAGCGTCAATTATTGAAAATTTACTGTATAAAGACTGCAGCGACTGCACTGTATCTATGTATTTTCCGACTAACCTCTTTATACAGTCTAAAACTGATTAATAAACCAAAAGAAAAAGAATCTAAAACAACAGATCCCTCTCGTACAACGATACAACATCAGACACCGAGTCCAATTCGCCCGGTTCCCATGGTGCCCCGCTCCGCGTCATTTCCGTCTTTCTAATCCGTGGAGAAACGTCGGTTCGCGGACCAGTTCGAATTCGATCCGAACAAGCAATCGTACGTATCGGACCGTGCGCTCGTTTTCTCGATCGATCCCGTCGTCGACCGACCAACCGACCGACCGGTTCTCGTCGCGGCGCGGGTTTCCCTCCCGCCCGCCCGTCGGCGAAGTTGAGGCGCGCGTTTGGCAAGCGCGCTTGCGAGAGGGCATAATGTTTCATAGCTGGCAAAAATGTTCACGTTTCAGATGGCCGGGATGAACAGCAGCCGAAGCGGAAGAGACACGGTGAAGTCGTGGGCGGAGGGGAGCGTTTGGTCCTTGGTATGCGCGATGGAATTAGGTTTGATATCGGAGCCGTGTCTGACGAGCGTCTCGTTTGCCACGCTCTCCGATGACGGCTCGCTCGTGAAAACGAGTACACCGGTGCCCGTGGAATTCCCCTCGATAAATTCGACGATCGGGACCGCCGCTGCAGCCGCTAGTCACAGAACGACGGGCCTTGGTTTCCCAGCGAGGATCACCGCGCAGTCACCGCCGAGGAAAAAATCGACGTCGCGTGGGTCGTCGAACAACGGCAGCGGCGGCAGCAGCAGTGGCAGCGGTGGCAGAGGGATGACGACGAAACGCGGCGGGGGGATGACGGCGACGCCGAGGAAATCTACGACCGCGGAGAGGAACGTTTGCGCCGGTTGGGAGCTCGATCGGGAGCTCGATCGCGCGAGGAATCCCACGGTGGAGAATTTTTGGAAATCGTGCAAGAGGAAACTGAGCGATGGCGCCGCGACGAAACGGCCGGATCGAAGCGACCAGGACCGTTTCGAGACGGATAAGGATCTCTTTCCGGATCGACCTCGGAGCGTCGACCTCGGCCCGGGGATCTGTTACCAGGCCAGACGTCGCGGCGACGGCGTCGCCGAAACGGCGACGCGATCGACCGACTCGCCGCCGCAAGCTCTGGATCATTCCGCCTTGGATCATCGATTGAGCCGCGAGAACGCGGCCTGGGACGTCTCCGAAGGGAGAATGATGCTGGAGAGCGTCGTCGACGTCGATCTCGAGGCGTCGTCCGCCGCGACGTCCGCCGCGACGACCGAGGACGAAGGGACCGTCGACGGCCATTGCTGGGAGTTCGAGAGCCGATCGGCGAACGATCTGCGCGAGCAGCAGGACGCTCTCCGCGGCTCGATCGACGTCGTCGGCCAGGCGAACGGATCGTCTCCGACGCCGATGCTGTGCGACGCGTTCGAGACCGATCTGCTGGCGATCGACGTCGCGTCGACGAGCCCGCCGGAATCGTTCCTCGCGGAGGAGCCGTCGCCGGACTGGGCGGAGGACGTGGACGCGCTGCCGCTCGCCGACAGGATCTCCGCCGCAGGAGGCAAATGGCCGAGCACCGGGGACGACGGGACCTATTTCGGAGGCCGCGGGAAACGCGGCCGGACGTCCGGCAGCAGCGCGTCCAGCGATTTCCCTGCTCCGGCGGACGTTCGTCGGGCGAACGATTCCGCGGCGGGCGACGGCGGGCGGTCGAACGACGGCAGGAAGCCTCGGCGGCGAAGAAAGTCGAACAGAGATAACGATTCCCGATGCAAATCGGCCGTGAGCACCGCCCGCTCCGCCGGGAACGGGCGGTCCACGTCCGCGCAACCGCCGAAAAGAAAGAAGACGGCGGCGAACGGGAACAACGTCGGCGTCGTCGCGACGTCCGTCAAGGACGTCGCGACGAGAACCGACGCGCCACGAGCGAGAATTGCGCGGTGCGACGACGAGTATCACGACATTAGAAGGGTGACAAGGGGCTCCGCCAGGATCAGCAAGGAAAATTTCGTCGGCAAGCTTGTCTGGGCATACTGTTCCGGATGGTGGCCAGGTAAATGTCCCCCCCACGCCCCCCAATGTGGCCCTTCGCGTCCTAATTCGGTGATCCTGGAACGGCGAATCGCCGCAGTGCCGCACTGACGATGCAGCCGCCGATCCCGGGCCCGTGATCGTCCCTTATCTTTTCCCAGTGCCCGGCAACGATTTAACGATCCTTTCTTTCGCCTCGGAAATTCGGCGCGCCATCGCGGCGCTCGCTGCTTTTGCAAATCCGTCGCCGATGACCTTTTCCGCGGCTCCGGAGACCACGCCAATGGGGATCCGTGAACTGGTCAGAACTCGTCTCGAGGGTCGGCGAAATTTATTTATTCGGTTCTTCTTATTTATTCGAGAACTTTGGTCAATTTGTCGGTTGTATTAACCCTTTGCACTCGAGTGGCGACTCTGGGGAGCCATTAAGATTTATTATATCGCGTTCTAAGATCATTTTTATATTAACAAAGCTTAGATTTGAAAAATTGTTAAGAGCGCGATCGTTGCGTGAGTCACAAGAACCAATTTCATATGCATAAAATGCACTTTGTTATAGAAAATAAAAATACTGTAAGTCAGAAAAATTATATTAAATTCACAGTTAAAACAGCTTCGAGTGCAAAGGGTTAATCCTTTTGCACTCGAGTGGCGATTCCGGGACGACGCTAAAAATTGCCGCACTATTTTCAAAAGAATTTTCACTTTGTTCAATTTGTATGTACCCGATAAATTGTCAGAGAACAGAACTGTTCTATAAGTGCGCTCGTTCTATTTCGTCTGTGTCAAATAAAAATAATACGAAATGGATATACCGTCGATTCAAACAAATGTCTTTATTACGGAATTAAAACAGTCTCGAGTGCAATTTAACCTTTACACTCGAAGTGAATTTAACACGAAATCTAACATAGTTTCTCTGTTCTATGGTATTTTCATTTAACATAATTTACTGCATTTTGTGCACACCGCATTGAATTTTGTGACTCGAGCAACAGTTACACTTCGTAATGTTTTTTAAATGTAGATGTTTATTTATTTATTTATAAATTTGATGATTACTTGGAAACGTGATAGAACAATTTTTGATGGCGGCTCTCGAGAGTCGACCCTCGAGTGCAAAGGGTTAGATCGAACAGCGTTTGATTTTCTAGAAGCCGCATCGGAATTAGCATCCGGCTTTCCGAATATTCCGGAAGATCGTTTGGTCGAATTTTCGTGTCGGAATATTTTAGAATTTGTTCTCGAACGATTCTCGGTTAAGTTCCTATTTTCAAACATAGATTTATCTCTTCCATCATCTTTCATATATCTATCGTCATTCGGAATTGCTTCGTTTCAATGTTGTACACACGATTTTTATTCAGTGTATTCTTTAACCCTCTGCGCTGCGGTTTCTTTCGCAACTTAATCATTTGCCTGACGGTACGAAAGAATTTTAGTTTCTTGCGTGGCTTCGTTTACTTTAATTCTGAGGCTTTGATAATTGTGCCGCGGATTTTCTGCATTTGTGGTAAAATTGTGTGGTTGCAATTTTAAACAGCAGAATGATTCAAAGAATCCAAAAATGTCGATGTGTCATTTTTGAACTACTATAATGGGTAGAGAATAAATAAACTTGCTATTTAGTTTCTTGCCGTTTAAATAATGTCAATATATTATCTTTAATCTACTAAAACGATTAAAAAAATAAATAAACTTGCTATTTAGTTTCTTGCTATTATAAAAATGTCAATCTATTATATCTTCAATCAACCAAAATGATCAAACCATGAATAAATTTGCTATTTAGTTTCTTGCAATTTAAATAACGTCAATGCGTTATCTTTAATCTACTAAAACGATTAAAAAATAAATAAACTTGCTATTTAGTTTCTTGCTATTATAAAAATGTCAATCTATTATATCTTCAATCAACCAAAATGATCAAACCATGAATAAATTTGCTATTTAGTTTCTTGCAATTTAAATAACGTCAATGCGTTATCTTTAATCTACTAAAACGATTAAAAAATAAATAAACTTGCTATTTAGTTTCTTGCTATTATAAAAATGTCAATCTATTATATCTTCAATCAACCAAAATGATCAAACCATGAATAAATTTGCTATTTAGTTTCTTGCAATTTAAATAACGTCAATGCGTTATCTTTAATCTACTAAAACGATTAAAAAATAAATAAACTTGCTATTTAGTTTCTTGCTATTATAAAAATGTCAATCTATTATATCTTCAATCAACCAAAATGATCAAACCATGAATAAATTTACTATTTAGTTTCTTGCAATTTAAATAACGTCAATATATTATCCTTAATCTACTAAAACGATTAAAAAATAAATAAACTTGCTATTTAGTTCCTCGCTATTTAAAAAATGTCAATCCATTATCTTTGCAATAATAATTTGCAATTGAACCTATAAACCAATTTGAAACAGCAGAAAGATTAAAAATTGCAACCACGCAAATAGATTTCTCGCAATCGACGCGGACAATTTTGCATAAAATTCCACGGTCTAACGATAACGGAGGGATGAAATATCATTTCGATTTAGAAGAAACAGCCTTCATATTCAGTAGATCACGTACGATATCTTCGTCACAAGCCTAACTCGTCGTTACAGTGCGATGAATTAAAGTAGTATTTTACCCCCGTAGAAAATAGCATTTCCAACCCCCGTATATACATATATACATACACATATACATATATCGCGCAACGAGAATGAACAACGGTTATACAGCCGGCGATAGTTTGTTAACACTTGATTTGCAACAACTATTTCTATCGATGGGCCATCAATTCACATTGCAGCTTTCCATAAAACAATAAACACGGGTCCGGGCGGATGCTGCGTTCGCCGTGCGAGGGTTAGACGTCTTCGTTCAAGAGAGACAGAGAGGATGAAAGTGGGTGAGAACGGTAGTGCGAGGGGAAGAGAGAGAGAGAGAGAGAGAGAGCGAGAGAGCGAGAGAGATTCGGTTGCGGCGGCTTTTTACCGCGCAAAACCAGACCTAACCCAGACCCGCGGTTTGCAGAAACACGCGATTTCGGTGCCGGTCCCGAGCATCGAATTGCGCCGATTTCGTGCACGCAACCGATCAGCGCGCCTGCTACCCGGCCGCACCCTTCAATAAACATTTCTATATAATATTACAGCGTTAATTATCGACGCGGGCCATGTAGGAATGTCGTCCGAGGCAGGAAAATTGTGGGTTTACTGGATCGGAGAAGCTCGTATATCATTAGTGAATATACATTTTTTTTTTATTTCTCTCTCTCTATACACGTACATACATACATTCATTCATACATACATACATACATACATACATAAATACATACGTACATATTTTTGTATTTGCATATGCATATATATATAATTCATGCGCGTATATACACGTATACGCGTACATTATTTTTGGTTATATATTTTTTTTCTTTTCAACAAGAACCACCGCCGCGTGCGCAACACGTTCCGCGTAATCGCCCGGTAATTACTCGTGCTTTTCAGCTGTTCGAAAAAACTCAGGTCGAACCGTTCTCTGCGAACATGGAGCAGCGGCTGTCGCAGATCTCGAACGTGGCGCGGATCCGGGCCGTCGACGCAACAATGCAGGTTCTTATCACAAACCAGATATTTTCTTTCCGATCGATCCTTGATCGATCGATCGATCGATCGTTGTCGTCGGCCATCAGTCTTCTCGCGCAAGAGATTTCTGCATTTTTTTATTCTCGCGCCACTCACGGCGAGCCTGTTTCAGATGCTGCGCGGGTACTTGGGCTGCACCCTGACGAAGCCCTACGTAAGGTGGATCGAGAACAACTTCTCCGAGATACAAGGCAGTAAGTCCCGGGCTGGATAATCGTCGCTTCGCTCGCACGAACTCGCCGCGGGACCACGCTAAAAAATAGAGAAAAGAGCAAAAATTTTCGGTTGATCCTTGTGGGGGCGTGTGACGTCGCGCATGCGACGCCAAATGCGTACCTGAAATTTTGAGTCACTTGGTGGTTTAGTATTGGATTGGCACTAAGTCCTCGCTGGTTTTTTTTCTATCGGAATCTGTTTTTTTTCGGCCTAGTTAATTTATGTTAATTTTCAGACCATTCAAATGGAATGTCGAGTTGAGAAAAATGAGCATTTTCGACGCCTCCTTCTCGTCGCTTTTAATCTGTCGTTTTGCTTGGAGCAATTTTTTAACGGTTTGTTTTTCAATAAAAATTAACGACTAATTGAGTCGTTTACTTTGAAAGTGGCATAAGTCACTTTACCGTAATGAAAAGTGGTGATTTTTTAATGTTTATACGAAATTATTTATACTGAGAAAAATATCAGTATCCTGAGATAACAGATACAAGTAAATCTTCTCGAAAGTTAGCATCCATATTTTTAAACGTGTTCAAACGCAAACCCTTAAATATATCGACTTAAAATCAAAGTGACTTATGCCACTTTCAAAATAAATAGCTCAATTAATGAATAATGTTAAGTTAATTAATGTTCTCCCTTGTTGTTTGCAATTTCTTCTCAATGTTAAACAAGATTTTCGGATCTTTGAGATCAAAATTTCCATTTTTGAACTTGGCGTACCAATCGCGAGCGATTCTTTCAGCTATGGCACCCTCTCCGTACGCAGCGCAAATGTCGCGAGCAGCTTTCGCGGCCTTCGAACCTTGATTAACACGTTCCGTGCCGAGCTTTTTTTACTCGAATCTTCACACTTTGATATTTTACTAAAACTTGATGTATTACGTGCAATTATTAATTCTCGTACACATAACAACGTAACAAAAACTTATCAACGCCCATTCTTGCGGTGGAAATTGATTCTTCGGTTCTAAATTTCTTGTAAACAATTTGTTCAGTTCACTAAGTAAACATGCAAGCGTGTACCATCGATGGTACACGTGGCACGGAACGTGTTAAAAGCAAAACGAAGGAAAACGCTCGAAAATGCTCGTTTTTTTCAGCCCGACGTTCCATTTAAATGATCTGAAAATTAACAGAAATGAACTCGAACGAAGCAAACAAAATACAGATTCCGGTAGAACGAAACATCCACTTTCGAATGATTCAGAACATTATGCCAAAAACATTCAATGACCCAATAGATTTTGAGGATATCATAGTCACCGTGTTCCGAAGAACATAGTTTCGAGAAAAATTCCTTCTCGAGACTACGTCCTTCAAGAACATGCGAAAGGAAAAATTGATTTTTATACAAAACTTCACGCTAGAACTGGCCGTCTTTTATCGACGGCTCGCGCACGACTTCGCCGCGTTAACGAAATTATCGCCTCCATTAGAAGGGCGACTTTTATGAACGAGACGCGGCGGAGCCTCGAGGTTCGAGCTACATTTTTTTCAAAGAGCAGCGAATAGGGATGATAAAAGGAGCGTAGATTCAGGGTTGTGCAGCGAGTCTCGTTCGCAAGAGGTAGGTAGAGCGAACAGCCTGGAAGAAAGAGGAGGAAAAGAGATCGCTGTGTGTCGCAGCAGAAGCAAGATGCGATAGAAAAACAGGTATTGGAGGACGGAGAAAAGGGGATGCGAGATTTCGGAAAGAGATAGAGGAGCGTCGAAACACTTGCTAAGAGGACGCCGAAGGGGCGAAGAAAGGCGGATCCAAGTCCTAAGCCTGGCAAAAAGTATTCGGCCACCTTTTAAAACGCAGTAACTTTCTCCAAACTGGCCTAATTGATTCAAATCTTTGTTTCAGTGTTAAAGGGACTAGTTCATGGTACAGTGACTAGCATACTTTTTTTTTTTAATTCTGCTGTTACTCTGCTGTTAAATGACAACGGCAGATAATAAACAGTCGTTTTTTAACTTCTTTATCTGAACAATATTTAACGAATATTTAAGTAATGCGTTTGGAACATCTCGTTAACTTATGTGAAAACTAAAAATTTCATTGAATTTGGTTAATGCATAGACGAGCTATAGTCACTCAAAGATGGAAAAATTACCTGTTTTTAGTTGAAATTCTCCAAAAACTGCAATTTTCACGATCTACAATTACTTGTAGCTTATAACAACGTCAACCAATTTCGATGAAATTTTCAATATGCACATAATTATTTACCTACGAAACGTATTTTTAAAATTTTCGTTTCAGGTTCAAATGAGAAAATTAAAAATTATTTTATGTAATAGCAGAATTTAAGAAAGGTAATGCTAGTCATTGTACCTTGTAATTTAGCCCCTTTAACGCTTAAGACAAAATTCAAGTCGATTAGACCAGTTTGAAAACAGTTATTTTATATTTATCTATTTACATTTAGCTGAAAACATTTCCAATCAAGCCACCGAATAAATTAAGCTGATCACGTTCCGTGGCCCACCCTGTATTGCCGAAAGGGTAATAGAGGGTTGAAAAGTGTGGAGAATGGCTTTGAGAAATAATTAGAGAAGAGCCTCTAGAATAAGGGTGGAAGAAGTGTGCGATAGAAACTAGATAGAATAAATTAGGACAGATAAGCTTAGGATATTAGGATGAGAAAGCATGAGAGTAGGTCAGGCAATAAGTGTCAGCGAAATTAAATAAATTCATTACGCAGCGATTAGAATCGTTTTCTCAGCGATACTTTCTTAAAAGAAAAAAAGAAAAATATTGCATTGCTATTAATACGTTAAGCGCTGGAAAAAAGGACGAACATCCCAAACGATCTCGTAACAATCAGTTTATTCGAACGTATCGCAGCCAAAATGGATTCCAAAAGCTGCTTCAAAATTACCGTCGCTCACGCGCGACTGTTATGGCACTCGGCGTGTTAGAAGAAGAATGTTTCATTTCGACCAAAAAGAAAGAAATAACATTCGTACTTTTAACGGCATGAACGCGCTTAAAACACTGACTCGACGTTGCAAGGGGTTGAGGTAAGAGAAATTCGAATAGACAATCAGTCGATAACACAGTTCTTTTGCTCTTCAGCAATCGATGAAGTCAAGTTCTACCCGTTTCCGACTAAGATCGAGCAAAGGCTTGCTCATCTGAAGGACAGAAACGCGAAGACCACCGAGAAGTATCTGCTGGACCAAGAACGTACGCGTTTATTGCTGTTCGTCGTTTAGCCTGTCAACCGGAGAACTGCGCTGCAATATTATAGTAATTTCTCCCAGAAATGTACGGAGGTCGGCATTGAAACCGGCAGATCTGAGAATACCGAGTCGCGATTCTTCGGGCTTCGCGGCTCGTTTTTTTTCTAAAAGTCGGGGCAGTTGGCGAAAAATTGCAGCGGCCAGCGATTGAAGGCAATTTGGAGGCCACGTAATTCGATTAGAAGGCAATTCGGAAGCTACGTGACACGATTTCAAGGCAATTCGGCGGCCACATTACACGATTTCAAGGCAATTAGGAGGCCACGTGACGCGATTCGAAGGCAATCGAAGGGCACGTGACTCGATTAGGAGGCAATCGGAGGCCACGTGACGCGATTTCAAGGCAATTCGAAAGCCACATTACACGATTTGAAGGCAATTAGGAGGCCACGTGATGCGATTCGAAGGCAATTCGGCGGCCATAAGACACGATTTCAAGGCAATCGGAGGCCACGTGACGCGATTCGAAGACAATTCGATAGCCACATTGCACGATTTGAAGGCAATTTGCAGGCCACATGCCACGATTTGACGGTCACGTATCTACCACAGTAATTTCTCCTTAATTAACGCTCAGATTGCGCACAAAAATGACAATTTGAGAAGAGGAGACACTATTATTCGAGCTCTGCGTCTCATTTTTATAGTCAGCGATTTGCCAAATTGTACATTTTTGTTTACAAGCTGAGGGCAATTGGAGAGAATTTACTGTACCTTCTAGCTCCGCTGTTTTTTTTGTTTTACCTGACTCACACCGAAACAGTCCATTTTGTGTTGTATTCCGAGAGACATCTTCATGAGCGCGCCAGGACTGGCACAGGGAAATTCACAGCGACCGAAAATTTGGCATTTCAGGGAGAAATTACTGTACTTGCTCGTACGAGAGGAGAATTCGAGCGGAATTGCAGCCCCGAACGGTGCGATTCGCGCACGAGCCGAGAAAGAATTAGGGGGACGAAACGCGCGTACGGGCGAGTTAACTCGTCGTCTCCGGTTGACAGGTTAACGTCCGACGTCCGGACCGTTTCCGACGGCCATTAATCCGCTGGTATGTCCCGACAGGTGAAAGTCAGCCGAGAAAGACCGCCGAAAAACCGAAAGAGCCGCCGCAGCAGAGCGACGCGGATTTAACGCGGTTGCCGCTCAGGGAGCAGAAACCAGGTGTCATAACGTGGGCAAAAATCGCCGGGCACAATTGGTGGCCAGGTAACGCTCCGTTAGCCGCGATTCGCGACACTGTTTTTCCGTGGACCGCCGTGCAAAAATATTCGACCGCCCGGCCGCCAACCTATCAACTCGTTTAGTAAACAATGTTCCGAAAACAACCATCACCGATATTTCATCGAACCGATTGCGCTCTCTCTCTCTCTCTCTCTCTCTCTCTCTCTCTCTCTGTCTCTTTTTCTCTCTCTGTCTCTCTCTGCATTTTCATCCGATCTCGAGATTCAAGAGCAACCAGCGGCCTTGATGGCGAACCTCGATATCTCGAAAGGTCAAAAAGGTGCAATAATTCGTTCAAAATTCTTTCTCGACAGTAGCGCATTTTTTCTGGAACGCGAGAATTCGGTCAAATATTTTTGTACGTCGACGTGCCTTCTTTTCAACCCCTTGGCTTTACGTTAACGCTAGATTTACGGAGCACAAAAAAAAACAGCTGTTTTATGTTACTTTATAAAAGTAACAATAAGACAATTATTCTGATTTTTAACAAGTGTTATTGTAACATATAAATTGAATAAATAACTCGTAAACGTATCTTTACGATATGAATAATCGTAAATTAAAAAATTAGTGTGACCCGTCGGTTTGACGTAAATCTAGTGTAAATCTAGTGTTAATCGACCCGCGAACGATATTTTAGATCGAAAATAATATTTTATTCGTAACCGAGATGTTTGCTCCTCTTCGAAATGTTTTTTAGGGGCAGAAGAATCGAACGAATTAGTTATTCCGGCATTAAACTTAACTCGTCATATGCGGGACAAGTTTCTAAAAATTTACTTTTATAAATTTTATTATATATTTGAGACAAAAACCCCTTCGAAATCGTAACAAACCCCCTTACATACTCGTTATCATAATCTCATTGTCACTTTTGAAAATATCAACTCTTCGCGCTCGACGCCGTTTTAAACCGCGAATTTATAATAATTTTTCCGACTTATTACAGTATTTCCATTTTGTACGACAAAGTGCATTTCACGCTTATGACATTGTGTCATTGCGACTCGTACAACTGTCGCTGTCTTATCTTGGACCGCGATATAACAATTTTAGCGGTGTCAAGGAGTCGCCGCGCGAGCGCGAAGAATTACACATTGTCTGCGAAGTGAATTTTTTCGAACTTCGCCGGTTTTCTACTTCACCGCTACGCGCGTGGAAATAAAAGTCGACCTTTGACCCGCGCACAACATGCGTTAATCGAGTTGTTTACTGCGCCGAATTTCCGACTATCGTGTCGCACAAAGCAAGGGGTTGCAGTGAATTCTCCCTAATCGACGCTCAGATTGTGCACAAAAGTTTTCACAGTCGTCGTTTTAATAGTTGTTGACAGTCGGTGACTATAAAGACGAGCCGCGCGGCTCGAACAATCGTATCTGCTCGTCCCAAATTGTCCATTTTCGTGCAGTTCCATTTCCAGAGCGTCAATTAGCGAGGATTAAAAAATATATAATATATATTAAATAATAATAATATATATAATAATATAAATATATATATTATATAATATAATAATATAAATATATATTATATAATATAATAATATAAATATATATTATATAATATAATAATATATATATAATAAAATAAATATATATTATATAATATATATAAAATCGCCGTAATTAAAAAATCAATCGAATTAAGTTAACGAACGATTTCCATCGACGAGTCGCGCGCGTCGATTGAAATCGCGCCTCGTCGTCGACCGTGTCGCGTCCTTGTCGCCGATAAAACGCGATCGGATCGCTTATCGGTGGATTCGCGGGGCGAGAGAATTTCCGAAGAAACGATTCGTGTCTCCGAGCGCGCTCTCGAGGCNATAATATAAATATATATTATATAATATAATAATATATATATAATAAAATAAATATATATTATATAATATATATAAAATCGCCGTAATTAAAAAATCAATCGAATTAAGTTAACGAACGATTTCCATCGACGAGTCGCGCGCGTCGATTGAAATCGCGCCTCGTCGTCGACCGTGTCGCGTCCTTGTCGCCGATAAAACGCGATCGGATCGCTTATCGGTGGATTCGCGGGGCGAGAGAATTTCCGAAGAAACGATTCGTGTCTCCGAGCGCGCTCTCGAGGCACCATTGCACTGTTAAAAATCGATACGGCCGATCGCGGAGGAGCCATCGCGGCGCGCACAGAGAGCGGATTTCGAAAATTCTTTGAATGCCGCCCGTTAATCCGCGCCGAATGGAAAGAGTTAAAGTGCCTTTGTCTGTTTGGGTATCGCAGCGATGATTATCGATTACCGGGACTGTTGCATGCGTGAGCCGGGCTTCGGCTGCCAGTGGATCATGTGGTACGGCGACTACAAGCTGTCAGAGGTAAAAATATTCTCGGTCGAACTTCCTCGAAAAACCGTACGCGACCAGCTTTTTCCTTTCGTTACGGCGACGATCAATTGATATCCAACGGTTGTTCGATCGGCAACCTGCGATTCTACTTCCGACAGATCCATCATCAGTCTTTTCTGAGGTTCGAGATGGGCATCGAGAAGATGCGCGACTACATCAACAACACCAAGAAGCACGCGTTCGTCGTCGGCGTCCTGCAAGCCGCCAAGGTGTGCACCATCTTCGATCTTCGTGTTTTCATTTCCAACGAAATGTTAATGCATTACCGTCCGGAAAACTGGAAATGGTCGTTTTCATAACTGGTCGCGAAATGTCGGAGTGAAAACTTGATGGAAAAGATACTTGATGGTTAAATCGTTAAATTTTTTTGTTTCTGAAAAAATAAGAACCCTTTCTCTTTGAGAAACCGGCCTGGACCGTATTGCGTTAACACTAAACCTAGCAAATGCTAAAAGCAACCGGTTTGTTTTGTTTTATAAGAATGACAGAGTTTATTTGAAGCTTCTTACCATTTTTATTGTATAAGATTGTATTAGGAAATTTACTGAATCGTTTCTAGTGAAAGAGTATTTAGAATATCAACAATTTTTATTTTTATTATATTAGCTTATATTAGAAAATGTGCTGAATCATTTCTAATGAGAGAGTATTTACAATATCAACAATCTTCATTTTTATTACATAAACTTGTATTAGGAAATTTACTAAATCATTTCTACTGAAAGAGTATTTCGAATATCAACAATTCTCATTTTTATTATATATATAAGCTTGTATTAGAAAATTTACTGAATCATTTCTAATGAAAGAGTATTTACAATATCAACAATACTCATTTTTATTACATAAGCTTGTACTAGGAAATTTACTCAATCATTTCTACTGAAAGAGTATTTAGAATATCAACAATTTTCATTTTTATTATATAAACTTGTATTAGGAAATTTACTCAATCATTTCTAATGAAACAATACTTAGAATATCAACAATTTTCTTGGAGATGTAAATCAAGAAATTTACCTAATAATTTTCTGCAGAAAAGACTCTTCAAAATATCAACAATCTTGAAATAAAAAATGTTGAACCAATTTTACCGTTGAACTTAGGTTGAACTCGAGTTTCAGCTGAAAGTTAAACGCAGCCTTAGTCCGTGGCAGAGTCAGAATTTGCAAACAGCTTAGCCATCGCGATATCCACAGAAATACAGCCCTATTTGATCTATTAACTCTTCCTTTACATCACTAATACAATTTTTCATATTTCTTACAAACAAATCTCGTTTCACCGCCGACCATGCCGATGTCGTTTCATTTATCCGAACATCATCGAATCGGTGCCGAAATGCCACGAACGAATTCGCGACGATATAGAGAACCAGTTTGAAAATTTTGAATAGCGTCAAACGTTTTTTAATAATGCGACCCGCCGCGATGCGTTTCGCCTTATCGCTGTAGAAACGCGGATCGGGGGGTGGATGGGGGCGAGCGGGATACCCAGTATACGCGCGGTCATTTTCAAGCGATGTTCCCCGCTTTTCAGGATTATTGCTCCCGTATGGGATACGAAACCGATAATTGGACGTTGGCGGACATGTTCAAATATTTCTCGAAAATAAATCGGCCCCAGCCGCAGCCGAATCCCCTGAAAAAAGGCGAGTCCGTCAAAATATACGACAAATACTCGTCGCAGATCGTTAAGGAGCTGAACGAGCTGAAGAACGATCCGAACGTGGACGATCAACGGGTGGACGACATAGAGAACAGCGGTGCGTTCGATAACGATTTCTCTTTCCAGCTTTCCTTTTTTTTTCTTCCGCGCGACGGACGTGTAATTTGTTTCGATGTGTTCCAGATGATTTGCGATCGGTGAAGAGCCGGGAGTGCTCGATGGAGTCGCTGTGTCTAAAGTGTCTGAAGATCCCCGACGGGCCCATGGAGTGCCACCCCTTCTTCGAGGGCTCCCTGTGCATCGAGTGTTCGGTAGGACAATTGCGAGTGGCCCGGAGTAATTCGATTACCAGCCGGCACCTGATATCTCCCCGTCGACGACGATTACAACGATTCCTATTTAATTTCATCAACGAACTGTCGGCAAACTTTTCCAAAAAAAAAACAGCGTCGTCGATTCGATCGACAGCGAAATAGAAAATCCGAGAATGCGTCTCGTTTCTCCGGGTTCGAAATTCTGGGCCAGTCCCGAAATTTTGGCGAACGCCGGGGAAACGGGCAACTCGGGCCACGCCCACTGCTCCACAAGAGCCACGATTGGTCCACGAACAAAGCCGAAATCTTTGAAATCGTTTCCCACAATTGGTTCAGCTTGCTGTAAAACCGTTTCCGCCGCTTTCCGTTCTAGATTCCTTCGAAAACCTCTCCGGCTCCTCCCCGATGCCTCCTAAGCCCCGCCCATCAACTCCTATTGGCTCCTAAGAGAACGTTCGAACCCGCTCGGTAAAACAGCGCTGTCCAAAGGCTAGCTCCGACAAGTGATTCTCGTGAAATTTTACTTTCGGATCTCCTTCATTTTCTGGAAAATTTCCAACGCACGCGTGCAATAAAAAAAAAGTCGCAAAAACATCCGACAACGAGGATCATTTCTCGCGTATCGCCGGTCCGATCCGACGCGAACGATTTACGAGAATCACCTGTTGGCTGCGGGAAACGTAAGAACGAATTTCGTCGGACACAGAGGCAACGAAACGCCGGCTATACGTTTCACGATGCTTTCAGGAACAATACAAGCCGTGCATGTTCGTGTTCGGGAACGACGCGAAATGCGTAAGTATTTGCATTCGAACTAACTCGGGCTCGTCCCTCTTCGCGGATTGATAGTGAATGTTCTGACTGGTTTGCTAGTTCTACTGCACGATTTGCGCGGCGACCGGGATGGTGATCATTTGCGACAACGAGGACTGTCCGAGGTAAATCGCCGCGCCTGGGGGCGGCGGGATCGATGGGTGGGAGGGGGCGGGGTGGCCCCGTATACGGGTGCTGTATTCCTGGATCGTTCGTTTTCCAGGGTTTATTGTACTGCCTGCATGAAACACTTGCTGTGTCCGGCGACCTACGAGCAGGTGCTGCTAGAAGATCCTTGGGAGTGTTTCCTCTGTAAAGCGAGGTCCGGCACCGTCCCGGACACCGTGGTGAGGCCGCGATCCAACTGGAAGGACAAAATAATCGATATGTTCCGGACGAGCTGCAACCCGAGCGCGCGAGTCGCCAGCAAGCGCGACGGCAAGCCGAGGAGAATCCGAGTGCTTTCTCTGTTCGACGGCCTGAGCACCGGTAAATACGGGGACAACCTCCGGGGTCTCGGCTGTTTATTGAGTTTCCCACCGAAAACCGCGTGTATCTTATCGCGGTGGCTCTCTTCTCAGGGTTGCTGGTCCTCCGCAAGCTGGGCTTGACGGTCGACGTTTATTACGCGAGCGAGATCGACCCGGACGCGCTGATGGTCAGCGCCACGCACTTCGGGGACCGCATCGTCCACTTGGGCGACGTCCGGGACATCACCAAAGAGAAGATCAAGGAGATGGCGCCGATAGACCTGCTGATCGGCGGCTCGCCCTGCAACGACCTGAGCCTCGCCAATCCGGCCCGACTGGGTCTCTATGGTACACGCTGTTATGGTAGCACAGGGTACAGTAATTTCTCCCAAATTGTCCTCCAGCTTGAGGAGAACGATGGACAACTTGGGAAGCAGAGACACGATTGTTAGATATCGACGATCGGTAACTGTGAAAACGAGTCGCGATAATATAATATATTTATATATAATATTTTTATAATATAATATAATAATATTTTTATATAATAATATAATATAATAATAATATTTATATATAATATAATATATTATATTATAATAATCGTATATATAATAATCGCTAGCTATTATAATCGCCATAATAATCGCTCGCTATTATAATTATTACAATATATTATATATAATAATCGCTAGCTATTATAATCGCCATAATAATCGCTCGCTATTATAATTATTACAATATATTATATATAATAATCGCTAGCTATTATAATCGCCATAATAATCGCTCGCTATTATAATTATTACAATATATTATATATAATAATCGCTAGCTATTATAATCGCCATAATAATCGCTCGCTATTATAATTATTACAATATATTATATATAATAATCGCTAGCTATTATAATCGCCATAATAATCGCTCGCTATTATAATTATTACAATATATTATATATAATAATCGCTAGCTATTATAATCGCCATAATAATCGCTCGCTATTATAATTATTACAATATATTATATATAATAATCGCTAGCTATTATAATCGCCATAATAATCGCTCGCTATTATAATTATTACAATATATTATATATAATAATCGCTAGCTATTATAATCGCCATAATAATCGCTCGCTATTATAATTATTACAATATATTATATATAATAATCGCTAGCTATTATAATCGCCATAATAATCGCTCGCTATTATAATTATTACAATATATTATATATAATAATCGCTAGCTATTATAATCGCCATAATAATCGCTCGCTATTATAATTATTACAATATATTATATATAATAATCGCTAGCTATTATAATCGCCATAATAATCGCTCGCTATTATAATTATTACAATATATTATATATAATAATCGCTAGCTATTATAATCGCCATAATAATCGCTCGCTATTATAATTATTACAATATATTATATATAATAATCGCTAGCTATTATAATCGCCATAATAATCGCTCGCTATTATAATTATTACAATATATTATATATAATAATCGCTAGCTATTATAATCGCCATAATAATCGCTCGCTATTATAATTATTACAATATATTATATATAATAATCGCTAGCTATTATAATCGCCATAATAATCGCTCGCTATTATAATTATTACAATATATTATATATAATAATCGCTAGCTATTATAATCGCCATAATAATCGCTCGCTATTATAATTATTACAATATATTATATATAATAATCGCTAGCTATTATAATCGCCATAATAATCGCTCGCTATTATAATTATTACAATATATTATATATAATAATCGCTAGCTATTATAATCGCCATAATAATCGCTCGCTATTATAATTATTATAATATATTATATTATAATAATCGTATCTCTTCTTCCCAAGATGTCAATTTTTATTCCCAAGCTGGGGACAATTTGGAAGAGTTTACTGTACAGGATGGAAGAGTCTTCTTACTGTTCGGTTGTGTTTCACAGACCCAAAAGGCACCGGAGTCCTGTTCTTCGAGTACTGCAGGATCCTAAAACTGCTGAAGAGACTGAACAACGGGCATCATCTGTTCTGGCTGTACGAGAACGTAGCCTCGATGCCGAGCGAGTACAGATTGGCCATGAACAAGTAGGGCCTCTCCCACCGACGACTCAGCTTTATCATCGTCGACGCAACGATAACGTGCTCTTAACACCTTGACATTCCGGTTACAGGCATCTGGGCCAGGAGCCCGACGTGATAGACTCCGCGGACTTCTCCCCTCAGCACAGGCTGAGACTGTATTGGCACAATCTGCCGTTCGAGCCGCACTCACTGCCATTCCAAGACGAGCAAGACGTTCAAGATATACTGACGCCGCATTGTCAGCGGTACGCGCTCGTCAAGAAGATCCGCACGGTCACCACAAAAGTGAACTCCTTGAAGCAAGGTACGGAGAGACTTTCGCTCGGCAATTCGAGCGGGCATCGTGAAATTAACAGGGAGACGCGAAAACGATTCATTAGTGTTGCTTGTAACTTAAAAAAGAAAAAAAGAAACCCGGCTTGAAACACAGCGTCTCTCTGGTATATAAACGGTTATTTTTGTTTCCGGGGATATCAAGGAAAAGCGGCCCTGAAACCGATCCTGATGAAAGACGAGTGCGACTCGCTGTGGATCACCGAGCTCGAGGAGATATTCGGGTTCCCGCGTCACTACACGGACGTGAAGAACCTGTCGGCGACGAAGCGGCAAAGACTGATAGGGAAGTCGTGGAGCGTACAAACCCTCACTGCCATTTTCAAGTCACTTTGCCCGTATTTCGAGTGCAATATCGCCGGGATGGATTCCGCGTTAGGCTCCCAGAGCCTAAGTTTCTAGGCCTGGACTTAGGTGGTCGCGGAATCGCCGGGCGTTTGTTACGTTACAATGAATCATTCAATCTAGTCCGAAAAGAGACGCGAATAGATTCGAGATTTTTTTCTGTTTCATTTTTCTTTTTTTTTTGTCTTTTTAAGCATTTTTAACGTTTATTTTCGAATTTTATTACAATTGAGACAACCGATGTAATTCCTGCTATTTTTAGTTTTTCGTTTTGTTCTTCTTTTTTTTGTTCTGTTCTTTTGTCTGCACGGATATATGTATATGTATATATATATCGTCCCCACTGGTGCAAAATATATTTTACAGTCGTGTCGAAAGTATATATATATATCGTACATTTTGTACATTCACGGTAACTGTCAACAAAAATAAAACACAGTCTTCAGGCAACCACCAATTCGGGAGAGAAATAAACACGAGCGTTCTTGGCGTCTCTAAAGAACTGTGCGCTCCCCGACGAGCACAGCCTTTACGAATTAGCATTCGCTCTTTGATATCTCATACGGAAGTATCCCCTGCGGTGTTCCCGACTAGTTGGCAACTCGTTGCTGCCGCCGGTGTACGGCACGTTTCTTTGTTGGTTCAACTGCAGCAGGGTGACGGGCACTGGTATACAACCCACCAAACAATTCACGTACTGCATCGCGTGAGCCGACAGCGGCGTGTTCAGAAAGATTTCTTCGCGTTCCGTGTCCACTCCCCTGACGATACCTGGATGATAAGCGAGCATTTTACGATCGTTTGCAGATGTTGTTTATAGATAAGGGATAAAAAGAAAACGCGTCGCGACAAGAAACACTCACCGAATCCGTAACACGAGCAAATCGGCGGCCTGTCCAACACCCTCAGATTAGAAACGAGCTCGACTTGTTGCGACTCTGGATCATCCAGGTCGATACCGCACAGCGCCACTATGTTGCCATTGATCACGTTCAGAACGTGCGTCGGCGGCACCGATGCGCGCGGGATCGAGACGATCAACGAAGAGAACCGTGTCCTGTAATCGGTAGTCAGCGACGTTACAAAGTATTTATTTTGTTGAATCGTACGGGAAAATATGGTACTTACACGTACGGCACAGCTGTGTTGATGTTAAGCGATATGTCGTGGCAACTGGACCTGCAATAACAATTTTCGCATCAGCAAATGAACACCATTGTAGATTATAATTTCATCGTCTTACATTGAATCCACGGGATCTCGCAGAATCTCGCTGAGGTAAGAGGTCATTACGAGCTCCCGCTGTTGATAGGGCTCCATGTTCCAAGTGTCGTTCACTGGAGCGCTTTTGCGTTCAGCGTGGGAAGGTATCACGCATAACTCGTGGCTGCAATCTTCGTTCCAATTAGCAACGTTCACGCCCCACGAGACCCTCTTCGAGACCTACGATAACATCAACATATTCGCATGCCCTCGCCCGTCACCTTTTTTTTTATAGACAATAAAATATGGTAAAACCTCTCTCTATTCACCTGATTTATTACTTCCTTGGACAAATGCTCCGGATAATTGTTCTTGACCTTCTCGGACATGATTTGCACTACCAGGAACGGTTTCGCCAGCTTTATCGTGAAAATCGCGAGGTCCCAACCGATCCCGGAAGTGAATCCCATGGTGTTCACTACGATCGGTAATCGGGACATTACCGGGCAACTCGACAGCTTTTCAACCAACATTTTCATTCCCTCGATGTATCTGGTGATGCATTTGCTCACGTCGATGTCGCCCAGGTACAGTTGGCAGACGGGCGTCTTCAAGTGGGTGAAATTCGGTCCCAGCAGAGGCTCGTCTATCAAACTGAAGGACATGCAACCGGCCGGCGCGCACTCCGTCTGACCAGGATCGACGTCCACGAGGACCACCTTCTTGCTTACCGGTAATAGGCTGTTTATCAGGCAACGGACTGCGGTGGACTTGCCAACGTTCTTCCCTCCGGTTATCGAAATGCAGCACCGTTCGTTGGCGCGCCACCTTTTCAACATCTTCTCGGCGACGTCCTTCGTGATGCGTTCGTCGACGATCAACTCCTTGCAGGCGTAATTGTCGACGAACAATTGCGACTGTAGAATCACTTGCGCTCTCTTCGGATCGGTCCACGACTGATACGGAGCGTCCTTTATGCTCGGGAACAGTCTGAACGGACAATAAGCGTTCAAAAATCTTGTTAAATTGTTTTCCAAATTCGACAGTAGAAGGACCGTCGTACCGGCTTGGAGGCCGTCCAACTCGGCGACCAGTCTATTCTCGGTGTCCCGGTCGACGCCTTCGGCGGAAAGAGTCGTCCAGAGGTCTGGTTGGACGTGCTGCGACACTGTGTCCACAGCTTTCACGCAAATGCTACTATATCCTCTGGGAGAGTAGATCTCGAACGGTTTGGAGGCCTCGTTGATCAAATATCCGTAAACTTCCACCGTTCCAAATATCACTTTCAAAACAATCTTGCCGGTGAAACAAAATTGCGTCCTTCCCGACATCACCGCTACGATCTTGTTTCTCAACGAATAAAACCGTATCGGACCCTGATCGCTGTTCGAGGTCTTTTTAGACGATGAAAATTCAGTTTCCGCGTTCGGTAAACTGCCGGCTGCTTCAGTTTTATCGATCCGTAGGTTTCTGAGGCAGTCCTCAAAAGAAGCGGACGGTTCGTTTTCGTTCCATGTATCCGCAACATTGTCCTTTCCCGATGTTAACGATGTTCTAGCTCTTCGTGATCTGCGATTGTTATTCGAGGACGTAGCTGTGCCAGTATCGGCGTTATTGTTTGGATTTACCGATTCGGCTACAATAATGCAAGCTTCCTCCTTCTTGGGATTGTTACGTCGCACACGCGACAGTTTGTTGCCGGGATAATTGTTACTTCTTAATTCGTGATTCTGTTTCAGTATTTTCGGTATAACGAAGTGAGACAATGCACTTGAATGAGATTCGACTATTACGGGTGCTCCTAAGTTTCGCTGTTGTTGTTTCGAGACCTCGGAATATCGTTTACTGTTTTTTCCTGTCGGCGTCCTTGGCTTTGTCGAGTGTAACGAACGATCCTTGGAATCTGAAATTTAAGCAGCCCACATTTATAAAGGTCTCTAAATACGAGTCAAAATATTTGATTTGATTTGATTTTCAACGCGCAAATAATATTTGCTTTTCGAAACAATCGGGTATACTCTCTGACAGTGGTTCTCAAGGCCGTTCTAAGCATTTCTCTAGCAGAGGAAAACACGTTTTATCAATACCTATGTATTTTGTAAACAGAAACGTAGAGCGATACAAATGTACCTGTTTTGTTAAGAAACTGTGGTTTCAGTGGAAGGTTGAGCACTCGCCCAAAACTGGGTTGTACCTTAAAAACCGTTTGGGAATCACTGCTCTAGAGGAATTCAAATGTTTCTTACGTGATGCTTTATTGTCGCTGCCACATGGTTTTTTTTTTTTATTGACATTGCACTTACAGTCCAACTGTTCATTACGCCCGGTACTTTCACTCGATAAAGAGCCCCGTACATTTTTGGTACCCGGACCGGGCGAATTCATAATTAGGTTTTTCAGAACGGAATCCTTTTTCAGTAAAGCCACCTTGTTCGTCTTCTTGTACTGGGGCAGCTTGCTAAAACAGAAGTTATGTTTCTAGTATCTAGAACGTGCCTGACAACACTGTCAGCACATCGTCCCACTATCAGATAACAGTTTTAAGATGCGTACTCAATGATCTACTCACGCTTTCGTTTGCTTGCGTCTACTTTTAACGACCTTTGCCTTTGCTTCTCTCATTGGTCTTGTCTTCATGTCGATATTACATAAACCCGGAAAAAAGTAACGAAAATGATTCAGACTTGTTGCGGACACATTGTTGCAAACTAACCTCAATCTTCCTGTAAACGAACGTGAAGTGTTTACAATTTACAGTCACGCGATAGTGGCGCCGATAGTGACGAAATTACGAAGTTCATTTCGGCCTCCGTTAGAACGCCAATTAGTGAACGACGAAACGCTGAAGCTGCTAGCGAAACAGTGGCGCCACTTGCGGCGAAATCTGGAAGCTCTGCTTCGGACAGCAGTTTCAGCGTTTCGCGACGCGCTAATTGGCGCTGTACGGACCCTGAACAGAGCTTCCAGATTTCGCCACAAGGAGCGCCATTGTCATGTCAATTTGATCACGGAATTAACGTCCTTTCTATACGATTGCAATATCTGTGCAATGTCGTCGTACACGTGTTTTTGTCCTGTACACGGTTAGGAACGCGTTTATAATTAAAAACCGGGCGCATTGTTATTGCACGACTTGTGCAATTTGATATTTTTCTGAAGTGGTGATTTTTGAAGAACACGCAACAATGGCTTTGTACAACTTCAAGAAAATTGCGGTGGTCCCCACCGCAAAGGTTAGTTGACATATCCTCGATCTTCTATTTACGGTTAAATATATTTCGACGTTAACGTTTTATTCTTTATTGTTAGGACTTCATCGACATAATATTGTCGAAGACACAGCGTAAAACGCCCACGGTTGTCCACAAGAATTATAAAATCACCAGGATACGATCGTTTTATATGCGCAAAGTGAAGTTCACACAGCAGAATTTCCACGACAGATTGTCCCAAATAATACAAGAATTTCCCAAACTCGACGATGTTCATCCGTTTTATGCCGATTTAATGAACGTTTTGTACGACAAAGATCACTACAAATTAGCCTTGGGTCAGATAAATATAGCAAGACATTTAATCGACAGGTAATTAATATCTGAAACAATGTTTTATATTATTCCATTGATGTACACGTTACTTAAAAAGTAAACACATTTTATGATAATAGCGTATCAAAGGATTACGTGCGTTTAATGAAGTTCGGAGATTCTCTGTACCGATGTAAACAACTGAAGAAGGCTGCCTTGGGTCGTATGGCCACCATTATGAAAAGGCAGGCAGCGAATCTGGCTTATCTCGAACAAGTTCGTCAGCACTTGGCCAGGTTACCCAGTATAGACCCCTATACACGTACCATTATAATCTGTGGCTTCCCAAATGTTGGTAAAAGCAGTTTCATAAACAAGGTGACCTAATTTTTTATGTATAGAAAATTAGAAACAGGCAAACAATTTGGAGGAAATGAACTAACTTTTCAATTACAGATCACGCGAGCCGACGTTGAAGTTCAGCCGTACGCGTTCACAACGAAATCATTGTACGTCGGTCACATGGATTACAAATACTTGAGGTGGCAAGTGATCGACACTCCCGGAATCCTAGATCACTCTCTTGAAGATCGAAACGTCATAGAAATGCAAGCAATAACTGCGTTAGCACACTTGCGAGCAGCTGTACTTTATTTCTGCGACATTTCAGAGCAATGTGGTCACACGTTGGACGAACAGGTGACACTTGAACCAGATTCGCGCGTCGTCTGCATTGACCTTCGAATAAATTAATCGTGTGAAATCGTTTTCCAGGTGAAGCTGTTCGAATCTATCAAACCTCTTTTTGCGAACAAACCGTTGACGGTTGTATTAAATAAAGTAGACGTCTTACGGTTGGAGGAACTTCCAGAGGAAAAACAAACGCTTCTGAAATCGTTGGAAGATAAAGAAGTGCCTGTATTAGAGATGAGCACGATAACCGACTTCGGGGTGATGGACTTGAAAATACAGGCTTGCGAACGTCTGTTGACCTACCGTGTCGATCAAAAGATACGAACGAAGAAGGTGAACGAAATAAATAAATTGTTCGGTCGAGTTTTAAAGAATGGAGTGTTTAATATATTATTTACTAATTACAGGTGGATGGACTGCTGAATCGTCTGCACGTCGCGCAACCGGTGCCAAGGGACGACAAGGTCCGCGCGCCGTGCATTCCGGAGAGCGTTCTGAAGAAGAGGCAAGCGGCTGCAGAACAGATGGCGAGAAAACGGAAATTGGAGCGACACATAGAAGAAGAACAGGGCGACGATTACGTCCTGGACTTGAAGAAGAATTATGATATCGAGGGAGACCAGAAATTCGACATTATCCCCGAAATCTGGGAGGGCCACAATATCGCCGATTATATCGACCCAGATATATTCGAGGTTCGTATTCGCATAAGCCCACAAAAGTTAGTCTGATCGAAAGCCAGGTGCTAATACTTTCTTCGTTCGCAGAAATTGAACCAACTCGAGAGGGAGGAACAGCTTCGAGAAGAGGCTGGTATGTACGACTACAAGGTGCCGGAGTTGTCCGACACGATGAAGGAGATCGTGCAGTTGGCCAAGCAGATTCGGGACAAGAAGGCGATCATGAAGGACGAGGCGATGATCCAGAAGGCCTCGACGAAACCTGTAATGCCGCGCACGGCAGTGGCAAGAGGCCGAGACAGATCGGTAACGAAGCTGAAGGAGCAAATGGAAGACCTGGGCATCGACATGGAGGGTACCGAGGAGGTAAGTAGCATGATGAACTTTTTTTAGAAGTCTACTATCAATTGCTATTGAAAGGTACTAATCGATTACGCTTCTGACAACCAGGCGCACTTCATGAAAACAAGGGGCCGATCAAGGTCGCTGTCTCAGCCGGCCAAGAAACGCATGCGTGTGGACTCTGTCTCGCAGTCGCGAGCTCGAAGCAATTCGAGACCGGCTCGCGACGACATGGGCGTGAAGAACGTCGCCATGAAGACGAAGCTGAAGAACATAGCGCACAAGGCGCTGAAGAAGAAGATCGCGAAGAAGGGTCTGAAGGGCGAGGCGGATCGATTCATCGGCACGAAGATGCCGAGACACTTGTTCTCCGGAAAGAGGGGCACCGGCAAGACGGACCGAAGATAATCGTATTCGTTTCTCGCTAACGTTTATGAGTAGGAGATTGGTGTGTTTCAAACTACCGAATGAATTAAACTCCGCCGCGAACGTTTGTCAACCGGCGAAAAGCAGAACGCGATTAGCCCGGAATTAAAAGCGCGGCAGATACCGCAACAATATGAATGAATTGTCTACGATTGCATAACTCTCCGGTTCGCCGGCGACCTTCGGCCCCGCTCGGGGCAAGCGACATCGTGCGCCCGGCGAAACTTTATTGCTGTCGCGCGACGATAACCCCTCGCGGCTACACAGCTTACAAGACCCGTTGTTCAGCGGATTTCTGTCGCTTGCCATGTGTAACACCGCCGATAACGACGATTGTCGCGTTGAGCAACGTCTCTCTCGTTGCCTCATAAATGTCGGAGAACGTTGCAGGATCGGATTCGGAGCTGCATCGGATGGAGAAAAGGTTGCCCGCGAAAAGTTCTGCGGTCGAGACACACGGTTACTACTAAACGCTCTGTTATATAAATAACGAATAAATTTTTATTTCGTCGTTACATCATCGATGGCCGATTAGAGAAGATATAAAGAGTAACGCGAGTCGACCGGAAGTCGGTTCGCGAAGGACAGCCCGACGCGGGCAGCGGTCTGTCGACGAATTTGCGACGTAACGGCGCACACGTTTCGTATGCCTCGCGGGACGTGGAAAAGGAGTAACGTCTAGATGTTTCTTTTTATTGATGTGAAAAATATACAATAGATGCGTGATATGCGTACGTAAAGGAGGATGAGAGTATTTCGCCTTTAACGATAACGCTTCTTTTACAGCGACGACGTCCGGAGAATGACAAAATAAAGGGAGAGAGAGAGGTGTGGAGAGGGGTGGGGGGAGCACGGTGTCAAAGAGATACGCTCTGTAACTCTATTAGGAACTAACGAAACCTCGAGCAGAAGAAAACTCTATGAAGCAGCGATCCTCGCGTATAAATAGATTTCGAATCTGTCTTCTGCATTTAATACTCGGCTCGCAAATACGCGCTGTGGATACACCCATACATCTACGTTCTAACCCCAGAATGATCGAAATAAATTAAAAGAATGCATGCGGCGCGATGAGATATCGTGGTGTCGGTGACTTATCGACTTCCTTTTCTTCTTCTTCGTCGTCGTCGTCGTCGTCGTCGTCGTCGTCTCCTCTTTTGTCGGTAGATCCGCAAGTTCTTTCTCAGGGGGCCGGCGATCAATTAAGAACTAACTTCGCGTATGTACAAGGGTAATTTAAGAAAAGAAAAAAAAACCGAGAGAACCATTCAACGATACGAAGTACGATTATTTATGAGTAATAATGTCAAGCAGATATCTTAGTATCACAGTCAATAGAAGACCCGCGATTACGCGGGTATCTGGGCATTCGGTGATGCCCGGGGATCGCGTTCGCGGCCGTCCGCCGGCACAGAGAAGGACGTTCCCCCGCTTCGTCGCAGCTTAATTGTCCGCGGAATTACAGCGACTTTTACAGTCGACGGGCTATAGCATACCGTGACTCTCGTAAAAAACCGTGGAAGCCACACGTTCGAAGCGCAGGTACAACTTAACGTCCGCGAAACGGCACCACCGAACGCCGTTCGGACGATTCTTTGGTGAGTCCTCGGGCGACAGTAAACCGCGTTCAGTTCTCGTTCCTCTCTAAGCATTTTCTGTCCCTTCTATCTCACGCGCGCCTCGCCGCACTAAATAGCTGCAGTAATGCCTCCATAACTGTCGCTCTTTATCTCCATTATCCGTTAGGACCGGCGGCCGTGGTACGCAACTAGCCAGAGAAGGGGCCCCGTCGCATTTTCTCTCGCCGTGGCCCGCTCCCATTTTCCAAGTCTCCGAAACCCGGGCAAAAATTCTATTTCGTCCCCCCCAGCACACCCCGCGACGTAGGGACGTCTGTAGGACAGCAACTGTAACCCCGCGATTCAGGAATCCATGTCTGAACACCGTTGCTGAACGCTCTTAGTTCCTAGTCTCCGAACGAAATCGTCGTTCAGAACAATTTAGGCAGACTGTTCGAGCAACTTTTAAACCTTAATATTATACCCTTTCGAAGGACCCATCGGGCCCAAAAGTAAGGTTATCGAGGCATTACTCTAGCGGAAGCTGGACGATTCAAGAGCAGGCGCACTCGAGCACTTGGATGTTCTTCCAGTAGGAGACCTTCAGCTGCGTGGAGTCGTTCTCGTCGAAGTAGACGATCATCAGCTGGTCGAGCTTGCTGGGCGCGCAGCACGGTTTCGGCACCTTCTTCCTGTCCTCCTTCCACAGCAAGCTCTGCAGAAGAGCGTGATGATGGGCCGGGTTGTACCTGGGCGGGCAGCGACCCTTGCAGTAGCCCGCGTCGAACGTCTTCGGATAGACGATGAACTCGAAGCCCTTCAGGTCCTTGAACATCACGGTCAGCTCGTGCCTGCAGCACTTCTTGCTCTCGCCTTTGCACTTGGTCCGGCGGCTTCTGTGCAGCGACATCAGCTCCTCGGGCGTCGACCGCTTCGACCTGGCGCTCGGCGACACCGAGGACTCCGTGAACACGTTCAGAACCGGCCCGGAGAAGCTTCTTCGGATTGGTTGCTCGTCCCGGAGGAACTCGAGCTCGAGGCCCAGGTTCTCCAGGCCGGCCTCCAGCCAGGATGCCACGGCCGCGGTCGAGTCCAGCTCCAGCCATCTCGAGTCCCGCGCCGACACCCTCTTCCGGGCGATCGGCTCTCTGGACCCGAACGTCCTCAGGTACAGCTGAACGTCCAGTTCCGATCGGTCGTTGTAATCGCCGTGGAGCAACAGCCGCAGGGTCGCGTGATCCACCGACGCGTTCCCATCCGCCTCAGGGATTTCCACGGGGAAGAACAACCGGTGACGGCGGTGTCCTCTGTCGATCCGACTCGATCCATTTCCAGGATGCGCTGTAACAGACACGACTCGCTGAATACATTACGTAAACGGAAACCTTGAATCCTCCACGCCGGCCGGGCCGGCCTCTCTCTTTCTCTCTGGCTTTCGATTCCGCGGGCCGCGCGTTTCAGGCACGGTTTTACGACGCCGCGCCGCGGGGACCAAGGTGACGCGAGCCGCGCCGTCGAAGACGCGCGGGAAGGTTGCCGCGGCAAGAGTAATCGCGCGACATACAGTAAATTGTAGATTTTCTACAAAAATGGACGATTTGGGAAGAGGAGATACGATTATTCGAGCCTTTTATTATAGTCTTATATATTTTTTTATTTTATATTGTAATATATTATAATATATATTATTATATATATATATATATTATAATATAATTATTTTATATATTATAGTATATATATNTTCTTCCAGTAGGAGACCTTCAGCTGCGTGGAGTCGTTCTCGTCGAAGTAGACGATCATCAGCTGGTCGAGCTTGCTGGGCGCGCAGCACGGTTTCGGCACCTTCTTCCTGTCCTCCTTCCACAGCAAGCTCTGCAGAAGAGCGTGATGATGGGCCGGGTTGTACCTGGGCGGGCAGCGACCCTTGCAGTAGCCCGCGTCGAACGTCTTCGGATAGACGATGAACTCGAAGCCCTTCAGGTCCTTGAACATCACGGTCAGCTCGTGCCTGCAGCACTTCTTGCTCTCGCCTTTGCACTTGGTCCGGCGGCTTCTGTGCAGCGACATCAGCTCCTCGGGCGTCGACCGCTTCGACCTGGCGCTCGGCGACACCGAGGACTCCGTGAACACGTTCAGAACCGGCCCGGAGAAGCTTCTTCGGATTGGTTGCTCGTCCCGGAGGAACTCGAGCTCGAGGCCCAGGTTCTCCAGGCCGGCCTCCAGCCAGGATGCCACGGCCGCGGTCGAGTCCAGCTCCAGCCATCTCGAGTCCCGCGCCGACACCCTCTTCCGGGCGATCGGCTCTCTGGACCCGAACGTCCTCAGGTACAGCTGAACGTCCAGTTCCGATCGGTCGTTGTAATCGCCGTGGAGCAACAGCCGCAGGGTCGCGTGATCCACCGACGCGTTCCCATCCGCCTCAGGGATTTCCACGGGGAAGAACAACCGGTGACGGCGGTGTCCTCTGTCGATCCGACTCGATCCATTTCCAGGATGCGCTGTAACAGACACGACTCGCTGAATACATTACGTAAACGGAAACCTTGAATCCTCCACGCCGGCCGGGCCGGCCTCTCTCTTTCTCTCTGGCTTTCGATTCCGCGGGCCGCGCGTTTCAGGCACGGTTTTACGACGCCGCGCCGCGGGGACCAAGGTGACGCGAGCCGCGCCGTCGAAGACGCGCGGGAAGGTTGCCGCGGCAAGAGTAATCGCGCGACATACAGTAAATTGTAGATTTTCTACAAAAATGGACGATTTGGGAAGAGGAGATACGATTATTCGAGCCTTTTATTATAGTCTTATATATTTTTTTATTTTATATTGTAATATATTATAATATATATTATTATATATATATATATATTATAATATAATTATTTTATATATTATAGTATATATATTATTATATATATATATATATATATATATATATATATATATATATATATATATATATATATATA